GGCAATTTGATCGGGCAAATTGGGGGCCTTTACTCACAGCCCCACTGCTTTTTTGTGAGGTTCCTTCTTCATCCTCCATTGATGAGCTCCTACACCTCTTCTCGACGTCAGTTTATACCGCGTTCTCATTCTATTTCCCCAAACCTCAGGCAAGCATTCTCAGAAGTGCGTGCCTTGGTGGTCTCCTGCTTGTGTTCATGCAGTATGTTTGAAATGCGCTGCATGGGGCAGGTACCAATACAAAAGAACCAACGAGAGACTTCTTGATTTTAAGCAGAAGCGTGCGATCGCTCGCCGTGTCATCCGTGATGCTAAATGCACTTGCTGGCGAGACTATGTTTCCACCATCACCTCTGCTTCCTCTATGAGTGCAGTCTAGAAAAAAGTGAGGAAATTGAGTGGTAAATACTCTCCTGACCCGGCTCCTGTTCTACGGGTCGCCGGTATTGATGTAGCAAACCCTCTTGACGTTGCCATTGAAATTGGCACTCATCTGGTCCGTATTTCCCGGGGGCTCCATCTATGCCCCTTGTTTCTTTCCTCAAAGTCTGCCTGGACTTTTCTTCTCTCAGAGAAGAACAGTATAATGTGCCTTTTACACTTCAGGAACTGGAGGCAACACTCTCAGCTTGCCGATCATCGGCAGCTGGACCTGACGACATTCATATTCGTATGTTACAACATTTACATCAGTCAGCCCTTGTAGTCCTCTTACACCTCTTCAATCTTATTTGGGCACAAGGAGTTCTTCCCCAGCTATGGAAATCTGCCATTGTTCTCCCTTTCCGTAAGCCGGGTACTACAGGACATGATGCCTCCCACTATCGTCCCATCGCTCTTACTAGTGCAGTTTGCAAAGTGATGGAATGTCTGGTAAATCGCCGTTTAATGTGGTATTTAGAGACACATAACAGTCTCTCCGCTAGTCAATATGGCTTTCGTAAGGGCTGTTCTACCATAGACCTCTTACTACGCTTGGATACATATGTTCATAATGCCTTTGCAAATAATCACTCAGTTATTGCCATATTTTTTGACCTTGAGAAGGCATATGACACAACTTGGAGGTATAATATTTTGGCCCAAGCCCACTCCTTAGGCCTCCGAGGCAATCTACCATCCTTCCTTAAGAACTTTTTAACTGACAGACACTTCCTTGTTCGAGTCAATAATGTACTTTCCCCGAACTTTGTCCAAGCTGAAGGTGTCCCTCAAGGATTTGTTCTGAGCACAACACTTTTTCTCCTTGCTATAAATGATTTGGCCTCTGTTCTTCCACCCAATATTTGGTCATCACTCTATGTTGATGACTTCGCTATTGCTTGTGCAGGCGCTGACTGTCATCTCATTGCAGTTTCTCTCCAGCATGAGGTCGACCGTGTTTCCACTTGGGCCACCACGCATGGGTTTAAATTTTCCAATACCAAAACTCACCAAATTACTTTCACTAGACGCTCTGTCATCTCCGATCATCCTTTGTATCTCTATGGCTCTCGTATCCCCGAACGTGATACAGTCAGATTTCTAGGCCTTCTCTTTGACCGTAGGTTATCCTGGAAACCTCACATTACCTCTCTGAAGGCAACTTGTCACAGCCGGCTAAACCTTCTTAAAACCCTTGCTCATCTTTCCTGGGGAGCTGATCGTCGAACTCTGCTTCGCCTACATTCAGCCCTCGTTTTATCGAAACTCAATTATGGTGACCAGATTTATTCAGCGGCCTCTCCTGCTACTCTCTCTAGCCTTAACCCCATCCATCACGAAGGATTACGTTTATGCCTTGGTGCTTTTCACTCTTCCCCTGTTGAGAGCCTGTATGCAGAAGCGAATGTTCCATCCTTGTCTGATCGCCGTGATGCCCATTGCCTTCGCTACTATGTATGCTCTCACGATCTCCACAATCCTTCCATTTATAGAATGGTCACCAATATTAGTAGACATTCTTTATTTGTTCGCCGCCCGTTTGCTCCGTCCCTTTTCTCTTTGCCTACATTCGCTCGTCTTCCCTTCAGTTACCACCTTTATATGTTCATGTAGCATCTCACTTTTCCCTATCCCCCTGGGAAGTTCCGGCTGTTCGGGTCTGTTCTTTCTCACTTCCTTGCTCGAAAGCCCAACTGCCTACGGTGGCTTCCCGCTCTCTTTTTCTTGATCACTTCCAATCTCATTCTCATGCCATCGCTGTGTACACAGATGGCTCTAAGTCTTCAGACGGTGTCGGATTCGCAGCAGTGTTTCCGGACAGCGTCGTGTGAGGGTATTTAATGTCTTCGGCTAGCATTTTTACTGCTGAATTGTATGCCATTCTTGCAGCACTTATTCGTATCGCATCTATGCCCGTGTCATCATCTGTGGTAATTTCAGACTCCATTAGTGCTCTACAGGCTGTACGAAAATTTGATACATCTCACCCCCTAGTTCTCTGTATCCAACTTTGGCTACGCCGTATCTCTACCAAGCATAAAGATATTGTTTTTTGTTGGGTCCCTGGTCATGTCGACGTACAGGGCAATGAACAGGCAGACACTGCTGCGCGGTCAGCAGTACATGACCTACCAATTTCCTATAGAGGTGTTCCATTTCTGGACTATTTTGCTGCACTAGCTACCCACCTTCATTATTATTATAATCAAAAAGAAGCGCTAAGCCATACCCACCTTCACACCCGTTGGTCAACTCTTCTCGGTAACAAACTTCATTCTATTAAACTGAGCATAGGTTACTGGCCATCTTCTTGTCATCAGTGCCGAGGTTGGGAGACCACTCTCTCCCGCCTTCGCATTGGCCACACTCGTCTTACTCATGGGTATCTCATGGAGAGGCACCCTGTTTCTCTGTGTGAGCAGTGTCAAGTTCCAGTATCGATTAGCCACATTCTGTTAGACTGCCCTCTCTATCAACGAGCACGCAGAATTTACCTCCAACGTCGTCTTCGTTCTACTACTACTCTCTCTTTACCTTCCCTTCTTGCTGATGGACCCTCTTTTAATCCTCTCTCATGGACTTCTTGACAACGACTGGTTTACTCCACAAACTCTGATGATACCTTTCGCACTCCCCTCACCCCTTTCTAGTTCAGTCTCTTGCTGCCCTTTACCCTTTCACCATCCACTGCTATCCGTAACCTATTACTCATCCATCTCCCTTTCGCCACCTGATGCCCTCGCTTCCTTCCTGCCCTGCAGCGCTGTATAGCCCTTGTGGCTTAGCACTTCTTTTTGATTATAATAATAATTGGGGAGCTTAACCCATAGGGGTCATAAAGGGCCTGGGGAAATGGAAGACATTCAAGTTTAATTGAAAGAATTGTGGCATTGGTCAAATTCCTTAGTTTAAGAGCCCCTCACCAGCATCAAGGAACCTTTCTTAAGGAAGCATGATCAACAGAAAATTGGAGGGATTACTACGAGTTTACAGTCAAACACATTACTATTATGGGGGAGCGCTAAACTCAAGAGATTAGACAGCACCTGTAGAGGAAGAGGGGATGGAACGCATTCAGTGAATTAGAGCACAGATCCAATTTCCTAGATAATGAGCCCTCTCACTAGCACCATGGTCAGTCAGCACAAACTCGAACTCTAAAAATCAGCTACAGAGATGGCCAAATAAATGAAGGAAATTCATTAATGGCAAGTAGGAACAAGGTAATGATAAAATAGCATTGCAGTCCTCATCTTGTACCAAAAAAAAAAAAAAAAAAAAAAAACTAAACTCGTAGGGATCCTAGTGCCTCGGGAATGAAAGGCAATCAAAGGAAAAAAAAGAATAAAGTAAAATTCCTCAAATTATAATTATGGGGAGCACTAAACCCATAGGATTATACACCACATGTGGGGGGAGGGGATGGAAGGTATTCAGGCTCAATTCAGGGAACTGGAGGACAGAATAAATTCCCTAAATCAAGAGCCCCTCACCAGCATTGAGGAACCACCCTTGAGGGAAACATTCCTCAGAGAGCCTCATCAGCATCGAGGCACTCAGTGAAGGACAGAGCAGCTCAAGTTCTCTGAATTAAGAGCCTTTTATTGAGAAGCACTCCCCTCAAAAGGAGACATGAACTATTAAGATTATTATAATCATGAAAGAAGAGTTAAGCCCATAGGATTATACAGCAACTATGGAGGGATGTGAAAGGTATTCATGTTTAATTCAGGGAACTGGAGCAGATCCAATTCCTTAGATCAAGAGCCCCTCACCAGCATCAAGAAACCTTCCTTGAGGGGATGAACTATGAAGAATGAGAATATAGTACCAAGCCAGAATCAAAGCAAGCTAGGGTTCAGAAAGACGACAATGAGGATTGTGTATGGCATACCAGCAATCATTACAAAGCTAATTCTATCTTTGCTCTAGATTACCCAAGGAGCAGGTGGAGAATCAACCTTAATTACCACAAAGAGCAGGTTTATTGTATTCACAAAGCACTCGACCTTCAAGGATAGTTCAGTAGGTATAAAATTTGTCACGTGGGATTACATTAAGCTGAACAGTTAAGTCATTAACACAGCAATCCACCTGTCCCAAAAAGACAATTAAGGATGAGCAAACATTGTACATAGTTATTGCAGGTTTTATCTTTCCAATGCTATAGCCCATGCAATATTTAATATTGCAAGTCCCCCCAAGGTGTAGCAAAAAGAATGTTCAATACTGAGAATGTACTGTACTATAAACCAACACTGCTACCCTCCTGGTAAATTCCTCAGCTAACTGCTCATGTCTTCTAGACATAGCATCCATTTTATAAACACTTAACTGATTTTTTAGCAATAAATATAATCAAATGTTTGTTCTAGATATTTAGGGATGCTAAACCCCTAAGTCATACAGCACCTGGGGAATAGGAGGCAATCAGGCTTGATCCAAGGATGGGGAGGGCTAGTTCAACTCCTTGGATCAAGAGCCCTCACTGGCATCAAGGACCCTCCCTTGAGAGGTTTTGCTCCAAAAATGAACTTGTGCTATATATATAAAAGGTATTTTAATAAAAAAAATAATAAAGCACCACCTCTATTTGATTTATAAGATTTAAAAAGCACAAGAACAGTGGTTATCTGGTGCTTTGAAAACATGTTGACATCAATTTGCTATTATTACAATTTACTACCCTTACCAACTAGTTGTCATGAATTACTTGCATACTACAAAAATCATTACAATGCAATTAAAGCACTTTGTAATCCATCAGCCTTATTTCACACTTAACTAATTCCAAATCATAAACTGTTACATTGCAATTACAATGTAAAATAAATAAAAAAAAAAAAAGGCAGGGAGGGGGTATTCAGGTTTGATACGAGGAAAGGACTAAACTGACTACTTCCTCAGATCAAGAGCCCTTCACCACAACAAGGGGCCCCCACTGAAGGGGCACCACCTAATGCTCAGCCTTTTGAATAACTTTGCACTACATTGGAACACGACCCACCATCCTACAATAAAAATTTAATGTCATCATTATCCTGCTAAAACTATTTACGATTTGGCAATTTGAATTAGTTATATTTAAGAAACAAATTCATATAAAAACATTCCCACTGCCATAAGTTTTATATTTTGTCAAAACTAAAGAATAAAAGAAAAATTAATAACTGGCCATTTTTCTTGTTTATTTAATCAATCATGCACACACACACATCTTGAATCACATCTTTTAAGCTATAGAAAACATGGCAATGTTGTGAAGCTGTGACAATTCAAACATCCGTCTCTACTTCTTCGACTTCTTCTTTGGCTGAAAAAGAAATAGAAGCAAATTAGGTAACACTTAAAATTATTATTTATACAAATCTAAATTGTATTAGAACTGACCAAAAACATTATTTGTATAAAAGTTTTGCCAAAACAAATGAAAAATAGGCATTGACAACAATAACTGCTCAAATAAATAAGACAAATGATGAATTTTGCATTATGGCGAAGGCTGCAAAGAACCCGTTTAAAACTTACTGGTGAATCCACCACCTCATCCTCCTCCTCCTCTTCTTCTTCACCTTCATCAGGTAAGTCGTCCATATCATCTTCACCAATGATGTTAGTTTCTGTTTGGTGTGTGCCACTGATGTAAACTGGGCCTGAACCTGCAGTCAGGTGGAACGTAGCTGCCTGGTCTTCTATGAGGATCTGCAACAAAAAACATATTAGACAACAAAGATATATGGTAGAAAAGGCAAAACACTTGACTAGAACACTTAATATCTATGGCTGCACATTATATTCATTGGTGCAATCACTAAATCCACTGGGTCACACAGCACTTGGGGAAATGGGTGGTAATCAGGTTCGACCCAAGGAAGTTATGGGCAGGTCCAATTCCTTAGATCAAAAGTCCCTCACCAGCATCAAGGAACTTCCCTCATAGCTACAGTTTTTGGCAGAACCAGTTTGCTATATTTATTCTTTGTATTTTTCTTTTTCTAATAATTATAATGCAACTATACATGCATTCAAGCCAAGGATTCCTTGACAAGTAACGTTAAGAATTCTGGTATACCTTTGACCAATTTCGAGGGGTTTTTCTATCCTACCAGCACAGCCTTGGTGAATCTTCCATGTTGAGTGTTTTGTCAACCAAGCTGTTGCTGTTAGTGGCATGCTAGTCCATATAACCACCAAACCCTGTGTATGAAGTTCCAGAGATAAAAGTTCAAAGCAAGCTATGCAACAGAGGTAAGGAAATAATCATGTACAGTATCATTAGGAAATGAAAAGGATTAGTTTTCCACTCAAGCCATATCCAATCAAAATATTCCTACGCTGTTTCCTTCACATTGTACAAAAGTAAATAGGCACTAAACTCTCATGGCTCATAGTGCTGTGGTAATGCAAATGTGAACTTGGTGGGCATCAGTGGAATTATGGATTAGAAAACGTGCACAATAAAAAACTTCAGAGGTGGAACTGTTGAAGAAAGCAGCAAGAGGAATGCATCTTGGGGTTATACACATGTGCTTTGATATAAAAGAAAGGCCTGGTCATGAACCAGGCAGCAGGGGTGTTGACCCCCAGAACACCCTCCAGGTAGTACTGACAGTCCTCGCAGAGAGGCATCTGGAGTCTTCCTGCGTGGTTATGTATAATCAGACCCAGTGGTGGCTCGTCCATAAGAGCTGCAGTCCCCCTATTATTATTATAATCAAAAAGAAGCGCTAAGCCACAAGGGCTATACAGCGCTGCAGGGTAGGGAAGGAAGCGAGGGTATTGGATGGCAGAAGGGAGGAGGGATGATCAGTAGGTTACAGAAAACAGAGGGGCAGGGGATAGTACGGGGGTAGAGGGTAGCAAGAGATTGAAGTAGAAAGGGCTGAAGGTATCAGAATTTGTGAAGTAAGTCGGTTGTTGTCAAAAAGTCAATGAGAGAGTCTGGATGAAAGGTGGGTCCATCAGCAAGAAGGGAAGGTAGAGAGAGAGCAGCAGAGCGAAGACGACGGAGGTAAATTCTGCGTGCTCGTTGATAAAGTGGGCAGTCCAACAGAATGTGGCTGACTGATAATGGAACTTGACAATTCTCACAGAGAGGAGCAGGGCGCCTCTCCATGAGATATCCATGAGTAAGACGAGTATGGCCAATGCAAAGACGGGAGAGAGTAGTCTCCCAACCTCGACACTGGTGATAAAAAGACGGCCAGTAACCTATACTCGGTTTAATAGATTGAAGTTTGTTCCCGAGCATCGTAGACCAACGTTGTTGCCAACGGGTGTGAAGTTGGGAAGATATTGCAGAAAAATAGTTCCGTAAATGGAATACCTCTACATGAAAACTGGTGGTCATGTACTGCTGACCGGCAGCAGTGTCTGCCTGTTCATTGCCCTGTACGTCAACATGACCCGGGACCCAACAAAAAACAATATCTTTTGCTTGGTAAAGACCCCGGCGTAGCCAAAGTTGGATACGGGGACTAAGGGGTGAGGTGTATCAATTTCTGTATAGCCTGTAAAGCACTAAGGGAGTCTGGACAAACCCCAAAATGATGACACAGGCATTAGATGCAATACGGATAAGTGCTGTAAGGATGGCATACAATTCAGCAGTAAAAATACTAGCCGAAGATAGTAAATGCCCTTGTACGACGCTGTCCGGAAACACTGCTGCGAATCCTACGCCGTCAGAAGACTTAGAGCCATCTGTGTACACAGCAATGGCATGAGAATGAGAGTGAAAGTGGTCAAGAAAAAGAAAGCAGGAAGCGACCGTAGACAGTTGGGCTTTCAAGCAAGGGAGAGAGAAAGAACAGACTCGAACAGCTGGAACTTCCCAGGAGGGTAGGGAAAAGTGAGATGCTACATGTACATAGAAAGGTGGTAATTGAAGAGAAGACAAGAGCGAATGAAGGCGAAGAGAGAGGGGACGGAGTAAACAGGGGCGACGAACAAATAAAGAATGTCTACTAATATCAGTGACCATTCTATAAATGGAAGGATTGCGGAGATCATGAGAGCGTACATAGTAGCGAAGGCAATGGGCATCACGGCGATCGGATAAGGATGGAACGTTCGCTTCTGCATAGAGGCTCTCGACAGGGGAAGAGCGAAAAGCACCAAGGCATAAACGTAATCCTTGGTGATGAATGGGGTTAAGGCTAGAGAGAGTAGCAGGAGATGCCGCTGAATAGATCTGGTCACCATAATCAAGTTTCGATAAGATAAGGGTGGAATGTAGGCGAAGGAGGGTTCGACGATCAGTTCCCCATGAAAGATGAGCAAGGGTTTTAAGAAGGTTCAGCCGGCTGTGACAAGTTGCCTTCAGAGAGGTAATGTGAGGTTTCCAGGATAACCTACGATCAAAGAGTAGGCCCAGAAACTTGACTGTATCACGTTCAGGGATACGGGAGCCATAGAGGTACAAAGGATGATCGGAGATGACAGAGCGTCTAGTGAAAGTAATTTGGTGGGTTTTAGTGCTGGAAAATTTAAACCCACGTGTGGTGGCCCAATTGGAAACACGGTCGACTGCATGCTGGAGAGAAACTGTAATAAGGTGACAGTCAGCGCCTGCACAGGCAATAGCGAAGTCATCAACACAGAGTGATGACCAAATATTTGATGGAAGACTAGAGGCCAAATCATTAATAGCAAGGAGAAAAAGTGTTGTGCTCAGAACACATCCCTGGGGGACACCTTCAGCTTGGATAAAGTCCGGGGAGAGCACATTATTAACCCGAACACGGAAATGCCTGTTAGTTAAAAAGTTCTTAAGGAAGGATGGTAGATTGCCTCGAAGGCCTAAGGAGTAGGCTTGGGCTAAAATATTATACCTCCAAGTTGTGTCATATGCCTTCTCAAGGTCAAAAAATATGGCAATAACTGAGTGGTTATTCGCAAAGGCATTACGAACATACGTATCCAAGCGTAGTAAGAGGTCTATGGTAGAACGGCCCTTACGAAAGCCATATTGACGAGTGGAGAGACTGTTGTGTCTCTAAATACCACACTAAACGTCTATTTACTAGGCGTTCCATCACTTTGCAAACTGCACTGGTAAGAGCAATGGGACGATAGTGGGAGGTTTCATGTCCCGTAGTGCCTGGTTTGCGGAAAGGGAGAACAATGGCGGATTTCCACAGCTGTGGAAGAACTCCTTGTGACCAAATAAGATTGTAAAGGCGTAATAGGACTGCAAGGGCTGACTGATGTAAATGTTGCAGCATACGAATATGAATGTCGTCGGGCCCAGCTGCCGATGATCGGCAAGCTGAGAGTGTTCCCTCCAGTTCTTGAAGTGTAAAAGGCACATTATACTGTTCTTCTCTGAGAGAAGAAAAGTCCAAGGGTGCTAACTCTCTGGCAGACTTTGAGGAAAGAAATGAGAGGCATAGATGGAGTCCCTGAGAAATACGGACCAGATGATTGCCAATTTCATTGGCAACATCTAGTGGGTTTGCTATATCAACACCGGCAACCCGCAGAACAGGAGCCGGGCCAGGAGAATATTTACCACTCGGTTTTCGTACTTTTTTCCAGACTGCACTCATAGAGGAAGCAGAGGTGATGGTGGAGACAATCTCGCCAGCAAGTGCGTTTAGCGTCACGGATGACACGGCGAGCGATCGCACGCTTCTGCTTAAAATCAAGAAGTCTCTCTGTGGTTCTATTGTACTGGTACCTGCCCCATGCAGCACGTTTCAAACGTACTGCACGAGCACAAGCAGGAGACCACCAAGGCACGCATTTCTGAGAATGCCTGCCCGAAGTTTGGGGTATAGAATGAGAAGCTGCGGTTAAAACGGAGGACGAGAAGAGGTGTAAACGCTCATCGATGGAGGACGAAGAAGGAACCTCTCTAAAAACAGTTAGGTGTGAGTAAAGGTTCCAAATTGCCTGATCAAATTGCCAGCGTGGGATGCGAAGAGGTGGTGAATATGAAGGGGAAGTAAGAATGATTGGGAAATGATCGCTGTCATGTAAGTCCGGAAGAACAGACCAAGTGAAGTCTAATGCGGCGGAGGAAGAGCAGACTGAGAGATCGATGCAAGAGAGAGTGTGAGTCCGAGGATCAAAATGGGTGTGAGTACCTGTATTTAAAACATGGAGGGGGTGGGTGGCAAGAAAAGCCTGCAGTCCCCCTAGATCCTCACTGCCAGACGTACGACTTAATCAACCTTATGCTAAAATCATTTGCAACTGACAAATATATTACAGGAAAAATCTGTTGTAGATTGTTTTCAATGTATTCATAAGCGAATTTTTAATGTTTTTGTTGAAACAAGGAAAAAAAAATGATTATAAACATAAGTTTGATGCGGTACAACAGTATAGGTTTTACTGGCACTAGGAGCCGCCACTGGACAGACCCTGCTTACGTCATTTTGGCTTGTCAAATTCATCTTCATGCCAATATCTAGAGTAAATTTCAGTTCAGCAAAAGTCATTACATCCAATGTTATGTCACTTACATCATAATAAGAGGACGTGGAAAAAATATTTCCTTAAAAACATTTTAAAATACAATACAGTGAACCCTTGACTAACGATATTAATTGGTACCCGAGAACGAATATCGTTAGTCGAGTTTTTTTTTAGCGTTAGTCGAAGCAAAAATGTTAGCGTTAAAATGCATCGCTAGTCGGATTTAATGTTATGCAACGCCGTCGTTGGTCGAGGAGAGCCTTTAATTGAGCTATGTG